GATGGGTAATTCTTCACAGATGAATCAGTAATAAGAAACATGTTTGCAATTTTAATGTGCAATGGATCAAGCATTTAATTATCTTTATTCCTGTTGGATTCACCAACAAATTACTGATGCATGTTAGTCACACGTGAGAAAAGTCGAACAACTGGTAAATACTGCATCTTTGCTTGAATATCCCCATGTAAGAACATTCAAAGTCATCAGGTTTCAGTGCCCTACAGATTATTAAAGTAAACAAAGATTTACTGAGTAGCAGTAAAACATCCCAGTGTATCAGAGCAGCTGTTTGTGTGAGCTGAGTGTGTGCAGGTGTTGAGCTCTCAGTGGGATCATTCAGCCATTTTCCTGCTGGTTCCCCTACACTTGTTTATTAGACACTTTAAGGACCATACAGCTGCTTTTGAATGTTGTTGACCAGTTAGGCACAGATTGCGTAATGTTTTACATCCCTGCTGCTGACCATTTACCAGAGCTTGCCAACATTTTTTCTCTTCACTTCACCTTTAAACTATCAATGATGCAACTGCAAACTTACTTGAGAGGCAGTCAGTCAGTAAACATGATTCCCCATTTGTCCAGTCACATGTCAGTACCTCAGGTCGGAGAGTTGCCTGATAAACAAAACAGTTTTGATTGAAGTGATCGTTTAATGTCCTTTTTCACGATGCCAATGTTCTCTTTTTTAGTTAAATATTTAATTGTTAAATTGACTCAGATTAATGTACTGTAAGAAGCTAAATGTCGGAGAGGGACTGGATTATAGAAAACAAGTGTAGGTTGCTGCTAAATTGCTTATAAATTAGGCCTCTTCATATATAAGAGAGAAATAATGTGCTGTTTCTCATTAATAACTTATGAAGGCTCACGGTTTTATTGGTGGGATCGTTTACGACCAAGCTTAAATTATAAAAAGTCCCCCCAAAAAAGAGACAATCATTTTATTTTTGTTGGACAAATGTGCCGGGGAACATCTGCCCTGGGATGCCCTGACACACACCCTGCATCCAACAGAAGCACACACTCCTGCTAGTTAGCGACAGCCCGGCTAGCCACAAAGCTACAGTAGCATTTCCTCTAGACCAGCTCCTCGGGTCCTGCTTCAACAGATGGCCCAACTGGTCCCTGGACAGGCCTGCAAGGAGGGGGGAGAGTGGGAGGATGGGGGAGTTAAAGGGGGATGGAGGGAGGTTGTGGGGGGTTGGCACCCTCTTAGGAGGACTGAGGGGGGGAGGGTGAGGGAGGGAGGTGGAAGACATATGTCCACAGCCCTGGCCCCTGCCGACCGACTGTCTCTGCTGGATGCCTGGCACGCACGCACGCACGCACACACACACACACACACACACACACACACACACACACACACACACACACACACACACACACACACACACACACACACACACACACACACACACACACACACACACACACACACACTCTCACGCACACACACACACATACACTCACACACTCATACACACACACACACACACACACACACACACACACACACACACACACACACACACACACACACACACACACACACACACTCACTCACTGTTTTTGTAACCAAAACAGTCACCAAAACACAAATCTTAAAAGTTAACCATGTGGGGACAAAAACACGGTCCCCATAAGGGAGGTCAGTCATCGTGATGTGACTGTGTAAACAGACTTTGGTCCCCGCCATGTCAGTAATATACATTTACACACACAGATACACAAACTTACTCCAAACCTGGCACAGCTCCTCTCCCTCTCCATCTGCACCTAAAAGACCCACGTGCCCCGACAATGAGGTGACCATGTCACTGCCTGAGCCGAAGCAGAGGGAGAGAGTGAGAGAGTGAGAGAGGAAAGGGAGGGGACGAGGGAGGGACACATTAACAAGCTATAATCTCAACTGCCTTATCCATAATGCATTGTGTGGGCCAATTTACATGGTGCTGGTCCCTCTGGGAGAAAGGAGATCATCCATCACATTACTTTATTAGCTCCCTCACAGTCTCTCACAGATGCACACACACACACACACACACACACACACACACACACACACACACACACACACACACACACACACACACACACACACACACACACACACACACACACACACACACACACACACACACACACACACACACACACACCCCACACACACACACACAGACGCACACACATCATTATTTGTCCCTGCCTGTCCTTCTCTCTCTCCCTCTGTTTTGGTGGCCTGTTTTGTCATGGTTGTTGTTTCAAACTGCTGCTGCCTCTATAAAACAACTCCACACCGTGTTGTGCAGACTGTGACAAACAGGCAGGGATTTTTCTTTTAAAATATACAACAATAGGTCATTTAAAAAAATACGACAGCCTCGGGTTTCAGGGTGAGTCATGGAGGAGTTTGCAGTCAGAGGATTTAGGTAAATGTCAAGAATCTGATGCCAGGCTTTGTTTTTCTGAACTAAACTTTGTTTGTTTTTGTGTATGAATTAATAAATCTCGCAATAGTAAATCCACAAAGTATCTTTAATCCCCGATCATTTTTCTTCAGATTAACATAAATTGAGTCACTTTTTAGAGGAGATCTAAAACAAAAACAAATCTTTTGGGACAGCAGTAACACCCACTTTGTTTGTGGTCATTTCGCATCAGTAGTCTCAATCTGTCCATCTGGGAAAATATAACTCCTTTTTCTTGAGATTTCTTGAGATTATTTATTTTATTAAATGACGACATTATCAACATTATAGCAAAGAACAAACGATCACATCGTACTTTGTGCATACATAGATGTTGTTGTTCCTCTTTAAAATATCTTTCATTCACTAGGGTTTTTTATGCAGATTCTAATTGAACTGCACTTTTTAAGGACTCTAAAACATCACTTACTGAATAGTTTAGATTCTAAAATCAGGATTAAAAATCATAGTTTCAAATATGTAGTTTTATACATGATCATTTATAAGATAAAAACATGTTGATCTTTTTGCACACGTTCAATTGAATGCATATTTTTCAGATGGTATAGTCCATATACACAAACAATAACTTGGAATTGTATTTCATATGAGTATCTCAAGGCTTGCCACACAGATAAATGTCTATTATAACCATTCAGTTAACTTTATTTGTATTTGTTTTTATTTAACCAGTAATTATGATCTAATTATTATAGTGAATAAGGAACTACATTAAGGTTTAAGAAGTTGAGAGGAGAAATGATTTCCTTTTAATTCTAAATCAGTCCAGATGATACAGATACATAAAGAACACATTAACATGTCCATAAAACTGTCCTGAGTTCAGTTTGTATGTGATGTGTGTGCGTGTGTGTTTGTGTGTGTCTAATGACTGGGTCGAGTGAAGTCTTCCGTGCATGTCTAAGAAATGAATTGTTGGCACCTTAGCCACACACAAACAAACACACACGCACACATACAAACACACACACACACACACACACACACACACACACACACACACACACACGCACACACACAGAGATCCATCAGTAGTGAATAAAAGAGCTGTAATTGCAATCATATATGTGGAGCTTCAGCTCTACGCGCCATACCGTACCATTAGTATCACAAATAAGTAATAATTTGCTAATGACAACATTATGTTGAGTCAGTTTAGGGGCAATTAAAGTGAGTGATATTTACATATGCCCAATGAATCACCCAGCGTGGCAGTTCAGGCGGTCTCTACTGAATATTCATCCAGGCATTTCTCCCCTGCGCGCTGCAGTCTATAAACTGAATTATGGTTGATTTGCCCTTTTAAAAAATGAACATGGGCGCATCTCCCACAAGGAGGCGGCGAACAATAACGTCTGATTATAAAAATGTTTTACTGCTAAACTGCCGGTGAGGAGACGGTGGCAGCGTGGTTAAAGGAGGGATCTAAAATCAATCCGATGTAGTCCCCGCCTGTCCACCTTTTATATTACGCATTCAGAATATCAGACTGAACGTAATTGATTTTTTTTTTTTAGTAATCAGATCTTGTACTTAGGGAAACGTAGAAGTAGATTGTAGGAATAATCTGTTACAAGTAAAAGTCCTGCATTCAAAATGTTACTCAAGTAAAAGTACAAAAGTAGCCTACTAGCATACACATGTAGGCTACTTTAAGTAAAAGTAGCCTACTTATTATGCGGATTGGTTGGGTAGAAGAACAGCAAAAGTAAATACTCAAATAACGTACTCTCATAATTGTACTAAAGTAGCCTACTAGTAGGCCTACTTTTTACACCATAGTTTGTCTTCACATTATCCCAAGTGAAGGTCACAGTTTCTCCCCAACCCTTTAGGTTAGGATTTCCTCAACAACACATCCGGGGATTTCTCTGGTAATTGCCCCGGTGTTTTATCGGGGGCGGGGCTGACCTCTCAGGTGCAGGATCAACAGTTTACATTCAGGGCGCTTAACAAGATGGGCTGCACGTTTATCATGCAAATAAGCAGCTCTCTAGCAGGTGTCAGCACACACACACACACACACACACACACACACACACACACACACACACACACACACACACACACACACACACACACACACACACACACACACACACACACACACACACACAGCGTCTTTAAACAGGACTGCAATCATTATCAAATTAACAAATGAAAACAAAGACACACACGTCTTTTTTTAATGACCAATGCAGCTGTACCTCGTAATGAGTAGATTTAAATATACAATGCAAAAGCAACAACATTTTATTTGTGTATAGCTTTAGATTGGTCACACCTTTAAAATGTGACTTCACAGACGACAGACCTAAAGCATTTCTTTGTGAAACTCTAAAATCAACAAATGGTTTATATGTATAATATTAGATGTGCCACTGTGTATCATGTACACATATGAACATATATTGTATATTTTTGCAACAATCCCCTCCTGATGGTGGAGTTGATTTGATTTGGACAGACCAGGTTTTGGACAATATTAATAATTGATTTACAAGCCATGAGTTAATCATTTATTTTTGTTTTTGTTGTATACAAGCGCAAGCGATAACATTGTTAATTTCACTTTTGTAAACCAATAAATATCATGCCACACTTCATTTACTATTAACAATGTATCTCTATCCTATGTCATTCATCACAAGCTTTTAAAGTGCTGAAATGCTTCATGACACATTTGTTGAATTTAATGCTTACTGGATTTTTAAAACAGTTGAAGACCTTAAGAACAAAAAGAAGAAAACATGTTTTATCTCCTGCTGTCATATTTATGTATATTATCTCAGTCCTTCCTCAACACTTCAGTTTGCTTCTTCCTCTTTTACTGAGATGTATCTGCTGCCATCTTGTGGTTTAAAGCTGCATACATTTCAAAACAAACTTCAATGTCCCAGAGGAGATATCTGTGCTGTTACACAGGGACCAGAGGTCAGTGTCAGCTGGAGAAAATGAAAAAAGCAGAGCTGCGAGGAATTCATTCTGTGTCCAAATGTGTGGAATGTCCTCCCTCTTTATGACATTTTGGCTTAAATACTAAACCCTCCTGTTTTTCTCATCTGATAAACGTGGCTTCCTGAACCGAAGAAAGAACAGCCAGCAGCTTCTCATTCAGTCTGAATTCAGACGTTTTGTTGGATGAATTTCTTGATGGAAGTTCTCATTTCTCTTTTTGGTGGAGAGGAAAAACAAGAGGAGAATAAATGCTCAACTCGTTCAAAGCCACTATTATTTCATATTAGGGATTACATTATCTAATTACAGTATTTATAAACAAAGGACTCGTCAGCTGGAGGGGGTTGATATTCTGCTCCCTCAGAGGGTCTCTCATTAGTTAACATATCTTCTTCTATCATGCTGATAAACAGCTGTGCATGCTTTCCAGGTCGCTTGGGAAAAATACAATTAAAGCTATTTGACAATAAAATCGTATGTAGTTTTCTAAGGTTCTTAGTGAATGTCCCTATAAGTAACTTAGGGAGTTTGTATTTCAAGACCCTCCTTATTTATTCATCAAAATATTGAATAATCTCTCCTTATTTTGGTATCACGACTAAGAAACTTTCCCTTTATACGTAATTATCTATCTCAAATTTGAGTGTCCATTGCTGTTTTTGCTCAATCTTTGTATTTGTCAATGTATGTTATCGTATGTGACAATGATAAATACAAAGTAGTTTAGCCCGGTCATGTGAGGAAAGATTGGTGGCCATTGGTTAGAATGTTTGGTAAGCAAGGGAAAAGCAATTGGGAAAAATCCTACTTTAGATTCTCCTTAAGAAAGAGGATAGTTTCTGAAACAGGACCCCTGCTGAGCAAGACAGAGATTGTTTGCAGGTCCTGCACACTGGATCCTCTTTCCTCTGTTGTTCTAAGTTACTCAGTATCAGTACACAAAGCTGACATATATGACAGAGGTCTCTGGTAACTTCGGCAGGTGGAGGTCCTGAAAGGGCAGCATGCCGTCATTGTCTATATGTGTTTGGACAGTGTAGGCTTTGGCCTCTGCCCCCCACTCCAGCACGGAGCTGTGGATGACCCCCAGTCGGGCCTGTTCATGAAACGCTGCTCCCAGCTCCCTGCCCAGGAAGATGTCCTGGATCTGGGATGGGGAAAAATCAAAGGAATCTCTCTGCAGGTCCTCAACCATGTCCATGTTTGTGTCTTCTTCCCTGTTGTATCTATTTGAGCCAAAGTGAGCTCCATTATCCCTGTCTGGGTCACTGTTTGAGGTTCTAAATCTGTTTGCATCTGGACTTTGATAAACAGGCCTCTGCGCCATGTTCACCATGGTCAGTCTCTCCAGGTGTTGCACAGAAAAATGTCCCTCCAGGGAAGAAGAAGGCGTCTCTCTGGATCCACAGTGGATGAGAGTTAGGTGCCTCACCTCAGAGTTGTTGAGCAGACGTGCCGTGTTTAGCGGCGACGTGAACCAAACTGTTAAACGTCTTGCCCCGAAAACAGGGGTGGAGTACGACTGGATGTCCTTGCATCTGCAGTCTGTGAGGGACGACAGGCTGCAGGGCTGCGGGAGCTGGCTGCAGGAGTAGTAGAAGAAGCTGTTGTGGGTCACATAGGCCAGGCGCAGGTCAGAGCGCTGCAGAGCCACCGACACACACAGCAGCACACAGAGGAGCGGGGCAGGGGGGCTGAGGGCCGCCATCACTGCTGCAGGAGGGTCTCAGGCAGCATGTTGACTCGTGTGTGGGGGGGGGGGTGTCTTCAGAAACACACCTGAGCCTATAGAAAAGAGAACACAATCAATATCAGAGACATACTAAACAACATTTTACACAATACTGTATATTAAAGGGAACCAATTTTTTTTTTTTTCCCACTCCTGTAGTGCTGTATAGGTTTCTGTGCATGTAAATGGTCTACAGAGGCTAAAATCCCAACGTTCCCTCCGATGGGAGTTTCTCTCCTATACACTCCCCCCCCGCCTAAAGCGCCTCCATTGGACTCCTTTGTTTACTTCCATGACATAGTGACATCACTATATGACACCAGCGCTTCTATTGGCTAGCGCTCCAACAAATTGTACAAGATAGGCTAAGGGACGGGACATCTTTAAGCAGTTTACCCATCACAACAGAGCTGGCCAGCTAACCAATCAGAGCAGACTGGGCTCTGGTTTCAGACGGAGGGTGAAAAGAACAGCATGGAAACATGTCACAAATACCAATTTTAACCTGAAAGTGAACAGATGGGGCCCCTTTAAGTGAAATATTTGAATATTTTTCCACTGCATTCCAGCAGTATTATTTATGTTGTAATTGAATCTTTTGTTAACACATCGGTCCTCCCCATGTCCGATTCTATTACTCCGGTTAATGATGTACAACAACCCCGGGGTGCTGGTGTGAACTTTCATTTCATCAACACATAATAAAGTTACCTCGACATAAGATAATAATCCTGACATTTTTGTGGCCTAAGTTCAACTGCTGTTCAAAATCAGCATTAGTGAGAGAAATGTTTATATACAAATAAAAATGCTTGGGTCTTATAAACAAACTCAGGACTCTTTCAGCGCAGGTCAACTTTCATACGGGAGATTCATGTTATTGGATAGCTGAGTGAAATGTTCCGAGGTCGCTCCCCTGTGTCTCTCATCCACTAAGTATGGCCTTACCAAGACGTGAAGAGAGGGGATGTGGACACACTGACAGCTGGTTTGGATCAGCTCTCTGACACACACACACACACACACACACACACACACACACACACACACACACACACACACACACACACACACACACACACACACACACACACACACACACACACACACACACACACACACACACACACACACACACACACACACACACACACACACTAACAGAGACACAGGCACACACACTTGGCACTTGGAGCCCTCATTGAATTTCCCACATACACACACATTTAGAAAATTATAACTGTGAAGATTGCTTTGAGATTCCAGGGAAAACATTGTTTAGAAATCTTGGCTTTCACAAAGGTCTGGGCCACGAACACGACTCTGCCTGGTTTTGAAGCCAGGGCAGAGTTGACCACCACATTCTTCCTTCCTGCCTCATGTGACTTTAAAACAGAAGTGAATTATCTACAGTACATTTAACATCCTGTTTCTTATCCCCTTTTTATGCCTTTAATGTTGTACAAATATTCCTATTTCGCAATGTCTAAGAGTATTAATGATTTGTATGGCTGCACAATTCAATAAAAAGGCTTGTGCATAATTTGTACGCACATGTCACACTGATATATTTGGAGACACAGTTTGGAGGGTCTGAACAGTGTTTGGCTGCATAGCATTAGTTTTTACTTACTGATCACAGCAGACTTTTAGGATTCTTTACTTTTCAGATTGTGCTTGCTTATAAAAAATATCTCACAGTAAATAACATACTGAATGTGTTTAGAGATGAAAAATAAGCTATTAGACCAAATACATTTGATGACCACAGTGTTGTGCTTAAAGGTACATCTTATGATGCTCTGTATTTGTTAACTAACCCTACAAAAACATCAAGACTCTTTTGCAGTGGCGGTTCTAGACCAATTTGACTGGGGGGGCCACTGGGGGGCCAGTTATTTTCTGAGGGGGGCACAATAAATGCAGGACGAAAAAGAGAACTAGACAGTATGAAGTAATTGCGCATAAGAAAACAATGCAATACAGTTATTGGTATTTGTTTCAGTACACTTATTTATTTCAGATATATCTTATAGTTATTACTGTTAGCTTCAGCTTAAGTTATAGTGCAATGTTTGCACTAACACCATATTTATATAAAAATAAAGGCAATGAACAGTTACATCTCTACTTTACATAAGGGTGTCTGCACAATCTCACATTACAGCAACAAAATCCTGCGTTTTTTGGCAAACCGAGTACCAGAAAATATACATTTAAAAAAAAAAAAAATTGTTAGGGGAGCCACAGGGGGGTCAGAGGTCAGTGTTAGGGGGCACTGGCCCCCCCGGACCCCCCTAGAACCGCCCCTGCTCTTTTGGTAACAAGCGTTTAGCTAAAGCTATAGACCTCCATCGTTCCCAAAACTATTACCGTCCAAGCTTAATTGAGCCACACCATAACATGTTTTTTTCAAACCGCTGAACACAGGAACAGCAGTTTAATTCCATCACCCTGCTGCCTAACACATTTCTAAATTACCAAATCAAATACAACTGCAATATTTAATTCTGTTTGAGTAACATTTGCTCAAATCGGCCGTTGCTTTTTTTTTAAAAATCTTTACGTTTTTTTAACAAAACAAATGCAGAGTGACAAAACACACCTTTAAGCACAGGTTCACACACATGTCAATAACACTGCTGTCATCAAATGCATTTATTTTAACAATGTATTTCTCATCACTAAACCCATTTATTTCGACCTGTATGTCTTTATGTATATAGGCTTAGGGCTTAGAGCCTCAGACAGGCTGGGGAAGTTGTAAACTACACTATGGCTTAATCTCTAAACATGTAAAAATATCAGCAGTCCTTCAGTAAAGCTTAAATTGCTTCCTTCAAAAATGTATTTTCTCATTAAATACAATTAGAGTTTTCTAAACAGTTGTTATTAGTCTAAAATGCTGCCCTCACCACTTGAATCAATCACAACTGATGAAAACCCAAACTGACCACAGTTGCCATGCTCAGCGACAAAGCAAGTCGCAAACTTTGAAGAGCCACCCATCAAGTGTGCAGACAAAAGGCTTTGGATTCTCATGAGGTACAAAACGGGTGGATTATCCCTTTGAGATGAACATACAGGAATAATTAAGAATCTCCTTCGAAGAAAAGCCACAGCTTCCTTGATTTCAGTGTCCAAAAAACGACAAAAGTCTGAACTGACAAACCCCTCTAGCAGCCGTAGTAATTATGACGGGAGCAAATACCGCGAGACAATGTTGTTTTGTAAAGCTTGACCACAACCGTTCCCGAATCTTAACCGTTTATTATTGAAGCCACACTGACAGAGGTTGCCTGGCAAAAAATAGTAATTTTCAAACCTTAGCCATATTATCACAGATTTATTTTCAACTCTGAAAGAGTGTTCTTCTGGAGGTCATGGACCAACAACATGGTTTGCTGTTGGAAGACTTTATATGAGTAACTTTCAAGCTACATTTTGGGAAACAAACCTCATTCATTTCTTGCTGAAAGATGGATGACAAGAGATACAAGGTAGTACTACAGTATATAAGCAAACCACGAAGCAAAATCACTTCACCAGCACCTCTAAATATCACTTTTTACATCTTATATTTAATCTGTACAGGACAACAGTTTAGACAATTAACTTTGTTTCCTATATGGATGTTTTTTTTAACTTTTTAGATTTACATTTTTACATTTAGATTTGATCTTTTATTTATTTTTTTGACATATAACATATTTCTAAAATGTTTTTCTGAAATGTGATGGAAATTTGCTACAACGTTTTCACTGGAATTTTGCACCACATTTTTTTTATTCAGCGCCTTATCATCTCGGTAGAAAGCATATTGCCCAAATGATGAGGTATTCTTTTTTAAGCGATAAGTTTTTGTAAAAACAAATGACTTAAATAACCATGGCCTCTCCATACTGAAGCTATCCAGGGCTAATGCACTCGAACTTACAAAAGACGCCATAAGAGGCAAGACACAAAGCTAGTTGAATGTTTGTTTTTTTTAAATATGAAAATTATATTTCTGTTATGCATATTGATGCTGAGAACAAAGGGAAAAGCAGGAGGAAGATGTTTTACCAGCGTCATAAAAGCTCAGTTTGACTGTCACGACCACGTAGCTCTGCCCAGCTTCCTGGAAATGTGTGAAGATTTACTTTCAGATGGCCACAGTTTGGTTACTCCCAGGGAGAAAGTGGTTGTGTCCTGGCTTTACAATACTTTCCACCCACAGAGATTACCATGAATGAATGTCTGAGCACATATCTGGAAGAGCTATGCTTCACTCACTTGAACATGAAGTGACTCAAACCTCAAACATTTGGATAAAGACATCTGTAAGACATCTATGATTTATTCTCACAAGGTAAACTTTCAGAAGTTCACATTTAACGGTCAATCCAGCATCATAAGCAGCTGCAGTGTTTCTCAGTGACACATTTTACACGTTTTCATCACATCAGATATGCGGGAATGTTTCTATTACATAACTCTCAGACACAGGAATGTAAAAGCTCTGTAAAGTAATATGAGAATATACAGCAATGCTTGGCTCTCTGTTTCTTTTACGGTCCAACTGCAGGGAACATATAAGCTGTTAAAGTACAGGAAATGATCACCAATGCTAGTACACAGTTAGAAAGTGTTCCAGATTGCTGGGGTGTAACTCACCTCAAGTTGCTGCTGAAGAGCTGATATGTGAATGCGTCAGTTTGAGGCTGGGATGGGGAGGAAAGCTCACATCCAGCTGACGTCATGATGGGGGAAGTGTCCCACAGAGGAAGCTGTAACTCACATAAAATGCACATTAAGTTCAGCCTCAAAAACTGCAGACGAACATATGTGTGGTCTTACCATAAAAGACCTGAAGCAAAAAGGGTACCCTTCATAGTCGATCTTTATGGGTCCATTTAGTATGTTATCTTTTGATATAAATCCCATAATGTTTACAAAAGTATATATTTGGCATTTTGAAAAATGTAGCCATACATAATTAAAAACATTTAGTTTTGTTTGTTAAAGTATCATTTATAACATTTGATGTCTACAGGTCCATTCAGTATATTATCTTTTGATAGCAATCCAATCCCATTTTTTATATACATTTGTTTCTATATTCGGGATTGTGGGAAACGGTATATTTCAATCTCTCTCTGTACACACAAATTGGAAGGTTGACGATAAAGTTGACTTGACTTTGAGGCAGATATGTTAATGTTTACAAAAGTACATGGTCATTTTGAAGCCTAGGTATTTAAAAACATTTCGTTCTTTTAAAGTTACGTTTATAACTCTGTTGAATGTATTTTTAATAATGTATACATCCGTAAAGCTAACACAGAAGTTTATCAATATACTGCCATAAAGAGTAAATCTTTCTCAACAGGAAATACAGAGGCATTTGTTAAGAAATCGTCCTTGGGAAACCTGGTTATTTCCCGGCAACGTGAGATACTGTTAACACACCAGCCAACTTTTGCTGCATTCAAGTGCTGTCGGATATACGAACTGTAGGGTGTTCACGTTATATTTTTATTTTCTCCTTCAGATTGAAGTTGTTTTACTGTCCTGGGTTATATATCATGGATACAGTGATAAACATTGGAGGGGTTTCACCCACAAAAAAGGGTTATCACTTTTTCAAATTTTTATTTTACAAAACATTGATCGCAAGAAAATAAAAAATCCAATATAACATGTTGTGTGTCCATTTGTCTCTTTTTTGGCATACAAATGCTTTATTTGTATGCAAAGGTGGTAAGTAACCAAGTACATTTACTCAAGTACTGTACTTAAGTAAAAAATGTAGCTACTTTACTTGAGTATTTCCATTTTATGCTACTTTATACTTCTATTCCATTTAAAAGGGAAATAATGCTATTTTACTCCACTACATTTATTTAACAGCTTTAGCTACTTTTAACCAAATGCATCTCTAACAATGTAATAAGTGGACTAACTCTTAAAGTCACAAAAGAGTCAAATTATTTAAATATTTTACAACAATTCAATCAGAACTGTGTTGGTCTCCAAACTTAAAATGCTACTTGATGCAACAGTATTATCGAGAAATGTCGCATATGTAAATATAATTTGCATATGCAAATTGTTCTGCACAATGATTACTTTTACTTTTGATACTTTAAGTACATTTACCTATTTTTGTACCTTTACTCAAGTAAGATTTTGAATGCAAGACTTTTACTTACTGTAGACAATAATGTAATGGTACTCAGAGGTAGAAGAAGTATTTAGATCATGCACTTAAGTAAACGTAGATGTACCAGAATACTCTGTTACAAGTAAAAGTCCTGCATTCAAAACGTAACTCAATAAAAAGTACAAAAGTATTGGCATCAAAATATATTTAAAGTATTGTTTCGCAAAATAGCCAATTCAGTGTTATATATTATGTTTTGATTATAATTATTGATCATTAAAGTGTTATCACAGCTGGTAATGGTGTAGCTCCTTTTGAGTATTTTCTGTATGCTGCAGGGTAGCTTGTGTTACTCCAGGTGTAACTAAAGTATTATTCAAGTGTTGTTTATATTTCACATCATCATTAATCAACATCTGAAAAGTAACTAAAGGTATTAAATAAATGTAGTGGAGTAAAAGTACACGATTTACCTCTGAATTGCAATGGGGTAGAATAACAAGGTAGCACCATTTTGAAATACTCAAGTAAAGTACAAGTCTCTCAAAATGTTACTGAAGTACAGTATTTGAGTAAATGTTAGTTACTTTACACCATTGCTCATTGGCCTACCATTTCATTTCTTAAATGAATCAACAGCAATTTGCATCTTTATTTTCAGAAGTCCAAAATTACGAGGTTTGGGAAAGGCAGCATTAAGGAAGGTCACATCCGCTTTTGGATCTCCAGCGGATCACATTGACCTGCTGCTCACACTGTAGCGGTTTCCCTGCAGCTTCCCGATGCAACTTTAGATACGTTAGACTACACATTGTACGAACTTTAATAATATAATAACAAGAACATTTGACTACCAGCTCAGTATGGATTTGGCGACATTTAATCCCGTTATCCTGTTTCTCGCCTTGGTACAAGTTGTGTTGGCCCTGGGTAAGTTGTTGCTACGTTACTAGCTTACGTACATCCATTAGCTAACTTAAGTCAGTGTTTACATCGTTATGTGTGTTTGTTTTCAACACTTATATGAAGCCGAATTATTAAGAAGGTGTAACACTACTCAATTATGGAAGTTATTTACTGAATATCGTGGTTTGTGTGGCATTTAATTAATGTTTAGTATAAATTGGCGATAGGAGGACGGGGCCCTGGCTGCAGGAAAACGGCGAATCACTGCTAACTAAAAGCGCTCTTCGTGCTTGTATCGAGGTCGGAGTAGGGTTTTTCTTTCCTGTAACTTCTCAGTAAGCAAGATTATTATTCCGTGTTAGAGTGTTATTTCAAATCTTTAAAATATATGTATTCGATACCATTTACAGCCAGAGAGAACAGGCTAGCGTTGCGCACATCCATTGTACAGTAGGCTATGTGTGGGCATGTAAACAACTGTAAACAATCTACTTTGATAGGAGAGGAGTTGTAAGGGAGGGAATTAAATCTTTAATGGTAAATCTACTAAACTAATGTATACTGTACAGAGGTGGAAGAAGTACTCAGATCTTATATACAAAAGTATTAGCATCAAAATATTCTTGAAGTACCAAAAGTAAAAGGACTTGTTATGCAGATTGGCCCATTTCAGAATGATATACATTACACGTTTTATTTTACCCTTGACTGTTATAAAAGCTGGTAAATGTGCACCTAGTATTAATTACGTTTTATGCAGCAGGGTAGCTTGTGAAATAAATACTAAAAGTAAAGTACAAGTACCTTAAAATGGTGCTCGAGTAAATGCACTTAGTTACTTTACACCACTGACACCGAGTGAACATTTGACCCCAAAACACAAACATATACTCTTGTTAGATCCCATGAGGCTGATCAAACCGACTGATAGCTTTGTCTTCTGTGTTCGGGGGTTTCTTTATTTCCTCTTTGTGCCTTTCAGTATTACCCAAGACACTGTGTTGTGCAATTCCTGCATTGTGTTCATTGTTAGAAGCACGTAAGCAGACTTTTTTCACTAAGTAGCCCAACACATTCACAGATCAAAACCTGCAGAAACCTACAATACATCAGTTCTGAAGTAGATTGTGAACTCTGCCATTCCTGCACACGTTAAGTTTTGAATTTGATGAAAATGGTTTGCAGTTCTTTACTCTTTTTGGCATTTTTACACACACAGAAAAGACCGTCAAAGGGGGGGCAGGGTGGGTGACAAATGGTGTCAAAAACAGGATTTGAAACTGGCCGTTGGAAGAACCACAGACACTGCTCTGCCTGTTATTCTTTGTGCAGTGTAGATCAGCTCTATCCTCTCATATTAAATGTTGTTCACAGTCTAATGTACTAGTGCCTCTTTTGGCCCTCACTGATGGAGATGAGTGGTAATAAATAACGCTAATGACCATTTTTGGAACATATCCTCTCCTCATTTATTGCACTTCAATGCATGGTATCTAACCTCTGTGTAACACCACTGTGACCTGTACTCACTGGCTAACTGGCCCTCTCTTGAGACCAGACGCAACATCCACTGGCTGATGTTTGTTTACAAAACACTCCTAGGCCTCACCCCCTTCTACCTCACACAATTACTGCAACTCCGCACACCCCCGACGCACAACACCCGGTCAGCTACAAGCATCCTGTTAAAGATCCCCAACGCCCATACATCCTTTGGCCGCTCCGCCTTTCAGTTTGCAGCAGCAGATAGCTTAATGTCATTCAGAAAACGTTGAAAATGAAAACCTTTGTCTCCCCCCGCACCTTCAATGTCACTATTATTGACACCCTGGTACACACATGTAGCTGCTTTGCCTAATGCTGATTTTAATGACTGATTGAACCACAGCAATATTGTTTTAGAGTTTTTATATGTTTAACTGCTATGCCTGTCATCTTTGCTCTATGTGTTTGTGTTGTCTCCTGGGTTCTGTAGTGCCCGGAGTCTGTCTTTTTATTTATTTTCCTCCCAAACCAGCCTTTGCCTCCTGTCAGGTCTTCATTGTAAATAAGAATTTGTTCTTAATTGATTTTCCTGGCGAACGGCTCTAAACTCGAGCATTAATGCAACCAGACTCTATAAAGAATGGAAAACACTCATTACTTTCAGCTCTATTATTGATAAAGCAGTGATTGAAGGTAGGGTAGGTAAGAATGGAGAAACCAGCTCGAGTGCGCTAGAATTTGAAAGTACGCAGCCGAAAAAAATCTGCCCCTTCCTTCAGACTTCCTTACAGAGACCCTCCTCCAACACACGAACGCGCACATGACCAATGAGGGCACGAGATACGTTTTGTGGGATGTTAAGAGCATTGCATGGAATATAACAAAAAGTGGTTCTGAAGTGAATTACCTACCCTACCTTTAATGATGAAAATAGCAACACTGTTAAACTATATTTATATAGATATTTGAACCCTTTGATATTCCCCACATATAAAGTAAAATATGTGAGGGGAGTAAAATCCTTTCAGACGAAGCATTTTAAGCATTCTTCCTGATATATTGGGCCTGTTTTGCTCAAACGTCTGAGGATTACTCCGATAAATGACACAAACACTTTTAACATCAGACTGAAATCCTACCACAGAGCAGGATTTGACACTTAATTATACACTTGTTATGACTTTTACAACTTCCTAAAGATGCCAGTATGCAAACTCTAATAAAGAACTTAATGTTTCAGTACATGGGATGTATTGCTTTGCTTTTTTTTTCACAGTGGTATCAAGACTCAAGTTGACAGGCACAGGACACAAGGTTAACTGCTTCTTATTCCTGCATACGTGACTTGTGGAGCTACGTGAGGGATTGAAAACCCTCACATTTCCTTAGGTTGGGAGTTCAGTGTTTCCCCTAGGTTTACTGCCTTGGCAGGGTGCTGCGGGGAAAAAATGAACTTTTTTTTATATCCTCTGGAGCAGAGAGAGGAGCTGTGGATTATTGTTATCGTACAGTAACAAAGTATTTGTAAAAGTAATAAAGTACAGTGTTACACGGAGGGAGAATGTGAATACGCAAAGCAGTGGACACTGAAACATGCACATACATTGGATAAATAACATAGGCGTTTAGTTTATTTAATAAAAGAGCACATGTTCAATGTGAAAAGTGACCGTAGATAGATTACTTCAGTTGCAATTTTGCGCTATATATATATTTTAATTTTTAAATAAAAAAAACACCTTGAATTTCAGGCGGGGCGCGGGGCTCCGCCAAGACAATGGTAGGGGAAACACTGAGTTCATCTATACTTTTGTAGCAACACTATTTTTATATAATGGCAAAGAAAGGGTTCAGTCTTTTTTTCCTGTGTCATATGTGGCAGCACTGCCACAAGTTCCTCTTCAGAGAGGGTCTTCAGTACAGGTGGCAATATTGTCACCTGCCTGCGCTCATCTCTGAAACCAGACCATGTAAACAGGCTGGGATGTGAGTTCATCGACATCCTGTCATTCAGAAACAGGAGGCTGTGTAATGTGGTGAAGGTGTGTTTCATGTTGTCGTCAGAGGTTCAAGGTTCTTTATTTGTCATACGAACATAGCTACAGAGTTATGTCGATGACAATCTTAGGTCACAGGCTTCTCCAACAGTGCAACACAATAATACAGAAAAACAGAAAAATATAGTGCATTTAAATATTAAAAAGTAAATACAAAAAGAAAAATAGTTTAAAAAAAGTGAAGTAGTGAAATAAGTCTATATGCAAGCTATTGGAATGATATATTAGATAAATAGATACATAATTACTAAGTAGCAGATGAATGTTATGGATGTTGTTACAACAGTTCAGGTGTTTAACAGTCTTATTGCCTGTGGGATGAAACTATCTCTGAATCTGGTGGTTTTTGTCTGGATGCTGCGGTAACGCCTGCCAGGCGGCAGCAGACTGAACAGTTTGTGGCTGGGGTGATGGGCGCTTGTGGGTGTGAACTGTTGGTATGGATGAGTTTCCACCGCAGCTTTTACAAAGTCTCGGTGTATACAGTAAAGAGTATCGTCAATCTGTCGTAAAACACAACTGGATAGTAAAGGTCTCCTGTTGTCTTGTGTGGAGTCTGGACATATTGCCATAATTCCCCTGAATTTAGACAATTGTGATGAGTCAACCAATACCATCACACTACTTGTGTCACAACAAGTTGGGCTTTCCAAGAAAATATACACCTTACCTCTGAATTTGCTTTCGTTCATGCCTTAGAATAGATATTTCTCATTATCTCGTTTCACCTTCAGTATGAGATCACCACTGTGCCTGTTGTGGAGACCTTTAGCTTGAGACACAATGTCAAAGACATATTAGTCCACTAGGTGACAGTTAAATATATATTACATTACAACAGGAATCAAACATCTACTGTTTTTGTAGCATAGGCTGAAGTATGTCCTTAGACGATTTTATTCTAAGTCAGATATTTAAAAAGCAACTTTTACGACTATCAATGAATCATTACGTTTCCTTTTGTGCAAGTGAAACTGCCAACAATGACCAAATTCCATCTTTTCAGTTGTAAGGATGTGCCTCTTTCCTCAGTTTACTTTTCTTTCATTTTTTTCCAAATGTTATCATCAGTCAGATGTTGCATTTGTAATCTTGTTGGTGTTCTTTTTGATTTTATTGCTCCTAATTTAAGATGACATTTAAATGTAATCTGTCGTAAAATAAGTGTTAGTATGCAAGGATCCTGTGTGACTGATTGCGTTTAGACGGTTAACATTTGAGAACTTTGGCTCTGTCTGTTTTTTGTTAGAAAAACATGTTAATATTTCTTAGACTTAGGCAAAAAAAGCTTTGACTAGAAATGGGAAAAAACGACCCCAAGACTGCTGTTATTTATTTACAACAAAGACAACATGGGTATTCAGTGTTTCCCACAGAATTTGATTCTATTTGTGGGGGCACCCCCCGGCAAGAAAAGCCAAAGGCCCCTTAACCTATTCGGGTGGCCCACGCATCCACCCCCCCTCAAATATCAAAATACATTCAAGTTCATGGCTACTGTAGGCAATGTTCTTGTTGCTCTGTGTTGCGTTGTCAATGAGTGAGACACAGCGGAGTTGAGGATCTGTGGGGTTTATTCTCCCAAAAATATAATTTACAATTTAGGCATTTAGCAGACGCCTTATTCCAAAGCGACTTACAATGAGCAATTACAGGGACATTCTCCCTGGAGTAACTGAGTGCCTTACTCAAGGGCACACTAGTGGTTGTGTTCCAGGCGGATTTGAACTCGCAACCTCCCAATCATCGGCCCACCTCACTATCCATTAGACCAGTGATTCTCAAACTTTTTTCAATAATGTACCCCCTTTGAAAAATAAATTCAGCCAAGTACCCCCTGATCAGCGCAAAAACAATTTGTTATGGAAGAAATGCCTATATAAAGAGGTACAGTACAGTGCTGCACCATCAGTGTCTGATTTATTAAAACAACAACCTTGTAACTTAGAAACACTTAAATGCTACATTTCAAATGTGTACAATCCATCACTAAATTCATGGCAAACCAATTTTAACATCATGCAATAACACTAAGACGACATTAGTTGCATTTAACTGATCTTTTTAATAAGTTGTACTTACAATTTAGTGCGAAACATGGGCTTGTGATTCACTGAGGATCTTTGTTATTCTCAGTGACAGGAAGGCCACTGCAGTTATTACACTTCACGTTTTGAAATATGTGTAACTCTGTTAATATAAAACCCACACTGCTCAAACTTCGTTATTTAAAAAAAAAAATCTCACGTACCCCCTGCAGTACTCAAACGTACCCCTAGGGGTCCGTGTACCCCCATTTGAGAACCACTGCATTAGACCACCAAAAAAAATAAGAATACAGATTTTTTTTTTTAACCCTAACTCACAAATGAATCAATGTATGGGAAACACTGATCAACATTGAACAATTCTTGAAATGCCTGTATTACCTTACATTGATTGTGATCTGAGCAGAGCTTGTGTTGCTTGCCAAGTCTTTATTTACAGTGCAGTGTTATAGTGTCATGTCTATATACCAACTAAATACCTACAGTGAAGGCAGCCATTACTGATGTCAGTGTTTTGTAAACACTCTTCATGCAACATGTGGAAACGTCTGCAGTGAGAAATATTTCCGGCTCACTGATTAAATCTGTCCGAGACGCTGCACCGACAGGAAAGCTGTGTTGATGTTTGGTTTGGGGGTTTTATAGATTTGAACTTAACAGTTTGTGTTTGTATCTCCTCGTCCATCTGCTCTGTCCTTCCTTTTCCTGTTCTGCTTCTGACTGCAAATGTCAAGAGAAGCTCCACTATCATGGTCACAACAAAACTGATCTGTTGCAAAGTCATCCAGAGTTATATACTGTATACACAAATATATCAAAATATAAGCAATGTATAAAATGAAATGATTTTACAAAACAAATCTAACAATAAAGACAGACAATCAATGTAAACTAGGAAATACTATTCCATTAAATATATTATTATCAAGAACTAAGTAGAAACTTACTATACCTCCATACTTCTATTTTATCTACACTCAACCATTTTGTTGCACATTGAAACAACACAAAACAACAACTAGATATCTTTCACATCTTACTTTCTGTGCAAAATAACAGTTTCTTGGGGTAACCACATGTTTTTAAACTCAGTTTGAAAGTGTTTTGTTTTCTCAAGCACTCAGGAACGTCGTCAGTTATTTTGTGGCGATAGCAGCACACGTCAACAGTGACCTCTTTTTTATGTCTGATAGGGCGGAGCTCTCTTCCTTCTTTCTGAAATATGTTTTTTGCTTTGTTTGCACAAATCTGTCTGCTGCTGTGGCTTCTGCAGTCGGTCCCGCTGAACTCGTATGAACCGAGAAACACGCTCATGTCGAGTAAACATTACTGATCACTACTCTACCTATCCTCAGCTGGAGGATTTAAATGATTCGTTAAGTTCACCTCCTGCCTTTTGTAAATCAGTGGCTCCTTGCTGCAACATGTTTCTGTCTTTTTTTATTTTAACACCAGGCTTTCGTAGGACAGCTTTTTAATATTCCTTCAGTCAAGTCACGTTTGATTTTGGTAGACCTACAATTTGGTAACTCTGATTTGGCATTTAATCAATTTGATTCGAAGATTCGTTTTAAACATATATGAATAGAACCATAGTTATAACTATATAACATAAAACCCAAGTTTAACACAACAATTTGTCAAAAAACATTTCAACGTGGACCCACTCCAAAAGCTCTCCAGAAAAAATGTATGTTTGGGAGGGGGATTAAACAAAGACTCAATATAAAGAATTTACCTCTGTACATTTTCATAATCAAGTTTCTTTTGGCAAAGCTCAGCATTCATTTAAATATTATTTACAGAACATAAAGTTGTGCATTAGCCACTGGATGTCCTCGCTCTTTAAGCCAGTTTTTCAATATTTTAAATCATTTTTCTCAGACTAGATTTAATGGTAAACACTTTGCATTTCCACTGTGCCAAACCCGGCCCGTTTTTTTGTTGCGTTTCCACTAGGGGTAGTTCCGGCTAACGGGTACTGTGTCACAGTTTTTCTGGCCCTCCAAAATCCAGGTTCTTTCCGGTCCAACAACCGTGCTGAATATACTAAACTAGTGAGAGAATCGCTGGCAAGGGGGCTACAGCTACAACAAATTGAACATATTTGACCGTGATTTAATTGTAATACACGTTTCAAAATGATGCCGAAGTAACAACATACTGATACCGGTTAGTAAAAACCATGAATTAATGCATTGACAAGTCTGCAGATAGACGGCAGGCAAAAAACCCTTTTAAAATGTGTGTTTTTATAAATGGAGATCGGCTAAGCTACCGCAGTATATGCTCCGACCGTCCACACTCACAACAACGGCCGATACAGACATAAATAAACCAGCGACTGTATTCGCTATGACACAGACAGTCTGTGGTTTGTACTTGTGTAACTTTTGTCTAGTTTCTGAACAGATATGAAGAGCTGTGAGGTCTAACAGCTAACGGCTGATGTTGGTTTTCTGTGGTTCTCATTAAAGATGACGTCACGACTCCGCCGACAATGCGTTACTATAGTTACTGCCCCAGCTACTAAACTGTAATGGAAACGCAGCATAAAGTGAGCCTGGCCTAACGAGGCCTAACCATACCATACGAGGCCCTGCAGTGGGAATGCGCCACTATATGCCTACTTTAAGTTCGGAGTCATTCTTTTTCTATTGCATTTTCAGATGGTGTTCAGAAAACTCTTATGAGACGTTGAAACGGAAGTTAAATGCTGAAGTGAAATGGCGTGGTTACACGTGTGGCCCCGTGCTGCAATGTGGTGAACGCCTCAGAGACCGACTTCACTGCTGCGGTTAGCACTTCTTTAGTTCACACGCCCCCATCTGAGATTTCCCTTTAACACCTTCTCACGTCTCAACCTAGATTTGAGGCTTTGGTATTTGTGTTATCACGTGCCTGAACGTAAATGTTTGTTCACAGAGGAATTGAAACTGAAATGGATGATAACGGGGGTGACTCATAACAATCTGTTGGAGTGTTAAGGAACACATCCGAAGATTATTTGAAGCCTTTGTCTTTTTTATTGAACTTCCTTAAATTACCTTCCCAGGCCAAGGTCATTGTTCACATTGTATTAGTAATTGTTTGTGGTGTGTGTGTGTGTGGACTGTAGTTGTGCAATGCTCTGAGGCATGGTTTCCTGTAACAGGAATACCACACGTATTTTCACAAGTATCCACCACAATGGTTGAACCTGCTTTTACAATCATTTGGTCTCTTGTAATGTACATTCAGTGAAAGTGAAAGAGCTGAAGTGAAGATCAGCCCACTTTTCAAAGTGAAATCAATGTTCATTTATTGTAATACTCTTTTTAGAGATCATGAGCAAGTATGTGCAGGCTTTGGGGAGTTTCTTTTTTCTCAGTGTCAGAGGAGACCTGCATGAGGTTTCTTGTAGATTAGATTACCAATCTGCAATTTCCACATTGGCTTAAAGCCTTACATTTCCTGACATTACTTCCTTGTTTAGCTTTTGTGTCTGTGTGGGCAAAGTAGACCCACTCAAAGATGTTAAGTAGGAGTGTATCGTATAAGTTTGAATGCAGTTCCCTCTAGTGGGGGGTTCGTGTTAGTGAAAATACCCATAGTCAATGATTACTATGAGCAAAAGGTTATATTGGAGTAAGGGAACTTCTCCTTTGGCATCATTTATTGGACTGTGTTGGGAAAATACTGAATGTACTCTTCCAATATCAGAGTACACATGATAACAAAGGCCCTACGTAGCTGTGCACGTGACAGGATGTATGATTACCTAGAAGAGCGCCAGGACACACTGTTTTAGGCATATGATAGCTATGTGATTAACATGATGATTCAGCCCCTATGGAGATAGACTTATGACTCATGTTTATTGCTTACGTGGGCCTTAGCTAATCTGAACTAAACATTGTATACAGCTTTGAACCGGAATTCCTCCATCTTGTGACTGAATAACTCCCTCTCTTGTATATCAGCATGTGAAGGACACTGTTCAGGAACTAGGTGTCCCATATGCTCTGTGTGTCAGGATTAATACTTAATAATAAATACATGTATCCTGATTATTGAAACTCAAGCCGGTGACGAGCGATGTTTTCCTAACAGACTGATATTCATTTTGAGGTGGTGTTCAGTGTGAATTTGAAAGCCTTTCAAATCTCCTCACCCTGGTGTTTGTGTGTCCACAGTGGAGCCGCCGGCCAACGTGACCCTGGAGTGCCACAACATGCACAACGTGCTGCGGTGGGACTACGGCCAGCTCGTCCCCGGGCTCAGATTCAGAGTCAATATCCGCTCGATGGGAAGGTTTGTGCATTTCCTTTGTACTCATTATTCTGTCTTTGGCTGTTAAAAGGTGTATTGTTTAGGTTGATCTCTGCAAACAAACACTGCAACATTAAAACAAACATGTATTCAGATAACAGCAATCCTGGATCAGACTTTGTTCTGCATATACAGTACAGACAGAAAATACTCCTTGACTTAGTTTTATAAATAGTCTATGTCCAACAGCACACTAATGGAGAATTTGTTAAGGGGTTAGACTAAAGGATTCTGCTCTTTAAAGGGTATTTTGATCAAGACTCACAGTTTAATTGTTCATAAACATGGATATTTAAATTAAAGATATCCTCGCAATAGTTTTTCACAATTTCATGTTCAAATTTTAGGTTTGGCTTTGAGATAGTTTTCTTTGAATTAATACACAAGATTTTTATTATTGGCTCCTAACAAAAAGCATTGTTAGTAACTACTTTTATAAAACTTCTTAAAGTTCTTCTTAACTTTAACACATGATTATAGTCTCTGATTTGAGATACTCATATTCCTTTCTCTCTTATTGGTTTCCACAGTCCTCCCAGTGAGAGTTGGGTGGAGCCGCCAGCGAAGCAAGCCGACGTGTCGTTTCTCTCTGATCCCAGGAACGAATACATAATTTCCGTAACTGCTGTGATTGGACAGAATGAGTCTAACTCCGCCCCTCCGGACTCAATAGAATTCAGCTATTTCCAGGACGCTCTAAGTGAAAGAAAATGTGAGCATTGATGGCATTGTAGAAGAAAACGAGCTGACATCACTAAACCTTTTTTATATATTAATATTTGAGTTTTGTCCTGGGGGTTCTGTTGGGCTGACAGGTGAACAGTTACAGGAGAATGTTAGTAACAGACATGTTAAGATAGCTATCATCGTCAGAACACTGTTCAGGCATTAATGTGAGGGGTCGCCTTCATCATGTTTCACATTGATACAATTCAGACAATGAATTGATTTTTATTATTATTATTATTATTATATTATTTTTTAATCAATCTGTGGGTTATTCAAGTTTCAAGGCTTTTATTGTCATGTGTGCATAGCTACAGTGCAGTTATTGTAAAGGAAACTTCTGTGTAGCATGCAGTGGAGTCACCGACTCAGGAAGGAGACACGGGAAGAGTCGGAGCTTTGATGTCAAACCACTGTGATTTATTTGGAGTTGGTACCAGAGTATTCACATCACAAATCCAAGAGTCAGAGGTTCTGACTCCACGGTAGAGTTGCCACGTCAATTCTGGAGAGCCTCTCTCTTGCCAGCCCATCTAACTGGTTTCGCAGAGAGTAAACAACATATTTGAGGAGATAGCCTAAACAGTGTGGGAACACAGAGCTACTTGCCTCGGACACCTATGACCTCGAAGATTTTACCTTGGAGTCCACAAATACAGAGAAGGAAGTGTCCCAGTGTACCCACAACACAGACCATCTGTATCCCAGTATTCACCGGTCACAGAATGGGAACAATAACATTATTGGCTAAGCCGCCTGTGTCCTTAAAGAAGGTAAACAGACATCACGGTTTGTCCTGTATGTTATAAATTGGCGTCTTATGATAATTATTTCCATAACAGTTATGACATTTAAAATCTTAGGTCACAGGCTCCTCCAACAGTGCAACACAATAAAACATAAAATAGTACAAGTAAATACAATAAAATAGAATAGAACCTCTCATCACCTCTCGCTGCTTTGCTAGCGCCATATTTAATGTGATTAGCATGTCGCTTCTTCCCACCCGTGCTCTGCGTTCGCTCTTATTGACTAAGCTTACTATCAAGATAAGAAGTACTTTATTGATCCCAATTTGGGACATTTTTTTAATGTAACTTTTTTAAATGTGTTTACCAACATGTCCAATCAATATTCTGACATCTCTAAGTGGTTGACCAATCACAACAGAGCTGGCCAGCTAGCCAATCAGAGCGCACTGGGCTCTGGTTTCAGACAGGGTGAAAAGAGGTGCTGCAGCACAGGCAGTAAGAGAAAAATAAAGACCTTTTTGAACATTAAAGCAAGGAGACAAGTCACAGAGACACACAATACACATATGAACCTGAAAGTGAACAGAATAGGTCCCTTTTAAAAGTAACATGTGAAGGTTTTCACCTCTAGCGGAGCTATGGAGCAACTAATGGTTTAACTTTTTTTAAAGTCAACATGAAACCTAAATTACAATTAAGAAATGTTGATGTTTGTTTTTCAGGTTCTCTTGACCTCCCTTCAGTAAACGTCACGACCCTACATGATGGCAAAATGCTGGTCCGCTTCGTGCATCCCTGGCTGTTGTACAAGAAGAAAAGCAAAAAGCTCCCCGTATTTCGATACATGGTCGAGGTGGTCCACCAGGTCAGACCCTCTATCACCTTCTGAAGTTTCGTATGGCATTGATAAAGCATGAGCAAATATCTCAGGGTCATAGCAGTTAGCAGGAATTATCACTTCATATTTGTATTTGTTTATTTGATGGTGACAGTGCAACTTAATGAACATCAGTATAAACATACATGATGTGAAATACAGGCGATAGGTCACAAAAGCAGATTGTTTACAAGTCAGAATAAACTAGAATATACAAACAAAACACAAGTACATAGATGAAATACATTGCACTACATGTCAAGTGAAAGTAATCATACTGAGTTCTGTAAATGAAGTATTTGTATGAATAGTTGCACACCTGCTTACCATTATGTGTCTGTGTGCAGAAGACACACACAGACCCAACTGACTGTGAGGAGAGTGTGTGTGAGGAGAACGTCATAGTGGCCGCTTCTCAGGAGAAACACTGTGTGACGGTCGAAGGCGAGCTGGAGAAGATGTTAGTGAAAACCCTCCGACCGGTCTGTGCCGCGCCATACGAAGAACCACCAAGCTGTTGAGTAACATTTTCTTATCTTTTTTTATTTTGTTAGTTTCATACTTAAAGGTCACCTATTGTGCAAAATCCACTTTTTCATGTCTCTTCTACATCAGCATGTAGCATCAGCATCAGCATGTCCCCTCTGTGGAAAGAGATTCGGAAAGTTTCAGGAAAAAAGATTCTCTCTTTTTGTCCTGATCCATTTCTCTAAAAACCTGTCTGAAAATGAGCTGATCAGATTTTGGCCACTTTACGATGTCATAACGATTTTTGGCTTGTGTAACCATTAGCCAATCAGCAACCAAGGTAACACCCCCCCCCCCTTATCACCCGAATCTCCTCCTAGAGCACCATTGTGTTTTTTGTAACCAAATATCTCTCAGAGGGGCGTGGGGAGGGGCTCCTTATTTTCATCTAAAGTAACAGACAGAGAATCAGCACTTTTGAAACAGGGCTGAAACAGAGGGGATTATGGGTAATGCTGCAATGATCTGTTTGGTGTTTGGAGCCAAACACTTCAGAGACATGTTTTGTATATATCTGAGAACTATAATATATTGATGAAAAACAGTATAATAGGGGACCTTTAATATGCACAGCAACGCATGATAGGAAAGATAATTATCAAGATAGTATTCTCCCAAATTCAAAACAATGTTTTTTGTCTTGCAAAGTATTCTGCTTCAATCCATATTAGATGGAATTCAACTTTAAAAAATAATGTCTTCAAAAACTCACGCCTTAAGGACTATTATATAAAAGTGTACGTTTATACAGAGGAGCTTCCTGTTGAAGCACTTTGAGCTGCACCCTGTGAATGAAAAGTGCTCTAGAAATAAAGTTTTTGTTTTATTATTTCTTTGTCACCAGTCCTCCCAAACCTGTGATATTTTCCTAACCCATTTTACCGTGCATCATTCCTATGCAGCCACACCTGGAATCTGGAAAGTGTTTGTCTTAATCTAAAAACTTTGCAGAAATGCCAAGTTTTAACAGAATGTCCCAAAAGAAGCCACGCAGCATTCGAACGTTTAGATCAACATTTGATTAAAGCTTCAATCTATTTATATTCCTCTGTTTTACCCGACAGAATAATATTGGTTGGCTTGCCCTCCTTGCTTCTTTCAGTACAACAACAAAGCCCCTCTGTCAAGAACCCATTACATTAAATGATTTGGTATTTGGTTGACGCTTTTAAACATGATGGCAACTTGGGGTTCAATATCTTGCACAAGGACACTTTGTCTCGTTTACTGCAGGGGTTGGACTGAACACAGATTCAGAGCTACTGGTTTCTTTGCTAAAAATGTGTGTTTAAGTGAGTCTATAAATATATTGACTTCCTATCTGTTTCCACTAGATCTCGTCCATGTGTGGGTGGTGAGCGTCCTGCTGATCTCCAGTGCGGTTGCTTTTGTCCTCTTCATGGTCTACCGAAAAAAGACCAATGCAGCAACTTCTATACCAAAATTCTTTGTGGGCTTTGTTCTTATCATCAACTCCTATTTTACTTTAACAATTGTATTTTCAACCCACACTTCCATCTAACAATTTCTGTTTTCGTCTTAAAGAAATTCGCAGCCAAAGGAATGCCGGAGAGAAGAGAACTGCAGGAGAAGATCTTTGTTCCTGAAGTGGTGCCCTGCTCTCCCACACTGATGGACGAGGAGAAAGACGTCACATCTTTCATCACTCCCTGCGATGACTCCGTGCTCCGGATGCGCTGCGGCGTGTCGGCAGAGGCAGACAAAGGCCTTTCTGACAGCGTGGAGGTAACGACCGATGAAGGATACACGCAGGGCAGAGACTTGGAGCCAGACGAGCCGCTGGAGGCGCCCTCTGGGTATGAGAAGCGTGCGGTGGTGGTGTCGTAGGCTCCGGGCGAAACGGCGGAGGGATACCGCGGCTGAGGCTGTAACTTCCCAACATTGTGGCACATCGAATGTTTGAAGTTGGGTCAAAAAAGGGAACTCGTCTGCAATCATCTGTCATTCAAATTGGAAAATCTTAACCCTAAACAGCGATTTTCAGTCGCGGTTACAAATTCCAGGTGGTTCGAGTCATGTTGTTCCCTTGTCAGACCGTCTCCACGGGAACAGAGAACCAGGAACGTCCCTCTTGTAGGTGCACTCAGACATCAGTTACACTTTGCACTAATGTGTCAGAGCAAGCAACTAAGGTTACAAATTAAAATGGCCTTACAGATGTGTTATATAATATAGATCAAATGAATTGCTAAAATCAGATCAGTCACCAGTGTCAGTGTTGTAATGTTGTTTATTTAAGTTCTTGATTTCTGATATTTGTTTCAAATGTTGCATCCTCTCATGCCTGCATGCTTAACATTTCCAGTAGTTGCCAAATCAGCTCAATTACCTGTGATTGGTTTAGTTCTAAGTGCATGCCACCTCCACAGGAGCTTCATGAAAGGAGATGTGAATGATTCATAGCTGCCATATCTGAGAGAAATGTGAAGATAAGTAGAAGAAAGAAATCTTTTCTGCAGAAATCTTTAAAGTGCTTCTCGTGACGGCATTACCTCTTCACTGACATTTACCTCTGAATTTAAATGTCAGGGTTTCAACTGTTACTCAAAACAACAGCGTCACTAAAACACATCTTTCAATGAATCCTAGATGAGTGATTCAAAGGGACTTAACGGCGCTTTATATTCTGTAATGCACATGGAAGTAAAACTATTAACGTTTTCTGTAAATACTGTTATATCATAAGCATCTGTTAATCATGCATTATCATCGTATCTGTTGACCCCATGTTCAGCAGTAACTGTGCAGTTACAATAGTCACAATACTGTTTTCTCTGTATTAGCGCGTCTTTTCTACCTGAATCCAATCCTTTAGTCTCATTATGCTAGTTGCACCTTAAAGTCACAGATATACAACAGTGACTTGTGTCTTGTGACATTTCTTTGATTTAAATGAAATATTCGGGGGGGGGGGTTAGTTGATGCAAGTCAGATTTGATTGGATCCCAGAGTGAGTGTGATAGGGAAAGAAGAGCAATATGGATCTGTAGAGGAGTATTCCTGCTGGTCGACCAGGAGGAGAGAGGGAGAACTACTGATGGATCATTTATTCACTAAAAGCCAAACACGCTCCCTCCTGTTTAACAAACTACTCTATTAGCTGCTCTACTCCCAGACTGAACCGTGGTTTGGGCCGTTTCCCAAAGTACATTTCTTAAGATACTTTTATGTAGACACCCGCCAAGTTCAAGACGAGTTGTCAAAAAACACTATTAATACGAAAATGTATTAAATTCTTGCCAAATAAAGGCTGTTAATTGAACAATTAACACAGGGTTACAAAATGTTTGAGTTATTATACCCACTCTTTAAATGAATTGATGGAATTCGATGAACTAATTTTCTCATGAAATGAGAGGGGATTTGCACCAGAGGAACTGAAGTGATGTTTTAACACTTGTACTTGTGCCTTGTTACCGGGCTTTAAACGTCAGCTGTTGAGTTGCTTATTGTTGTTTTGTGTTGCATAACTTGAGACTGTACGAGTTGATGAGCCTTCCCAGCTACAGAGGCTGGATGCTGATCATGACTTTGAAAAAAGGATATGGTGCTTTTTTATTTGTGTAAAATATTCGGTTCGCAATTTTCAAAAAGTAAATGCCGGGCTTGATGACCAGCCGGAGTGATTGTCTGATATTTGAATGTTGTTAACGTTTGATTTGGAAAAGTGGCCGGCCCATTAACCTCGAGAATTTCACTAATTAACTCTTAATTATGCTTCCTCAGTTTCTGTGCCTATGTCCTTTTATAATGATTCCTTTTCCGTCTGAAAACCAATGTTAATGGTTATTATCTCGTGAGTTTTCAGTATTACTTCATTTCAATAAAAGTTAAAAAAAAAACGTTGTTCTTTTTTCTGTTTGTATCCTAAAGGATGTGGTTATAAAGCGGATGTTGTACACACTAAATTACTTTATGTGAAGAGCTACAAATTAAGGAAGGGAAGTTGGTATTTCAGTGTAGTGAAGCAGCTAATTTACATTTAATGAGCAATACTCAAATATGTCAGATTCGGCCATGTCACTGTGTAAAGGAAGAAGCATGCACGTCCTGTTTCATGACATGATATCCACGTTCCTTCCTCTAGATCAGTGCCCAGGGTGTGTGTGTGTGTGTACACTTAGATGTCTGTTTGCAATGTTTCCTTCCTCTTTAGTGGTTGTGTGTGTGGGAGTTGGATTTGGAGACCTTTTGGGTTCCAGTAACTACACTACATACTTCACTATTACTGTAGTCACATGTCCTTGCAGGTAAAGAGTTTCTGGTAATCTGTCCGATATTTCCCACCGCCCCATCAGAGCTTGTGTGTTCATTTCTACTCAATTTAAAATGGATGTTACCTAGCATTCTTAACTACAAGGTCTGAAGGCAGAAATTGGTTAAGCATGACCTTTTAAATCTTTTAACCCCCCCCCCCCCCTTATTTAAAGTGTGCTATGCAATATAACCGCAATAAATAAACCTATATATTGCAGACCTGAAGTTGAGTGACTGACCAAAAGCAGTTAAACATACATACAAAGACAAAGACAGGTAGAATTACACAACACCAAACTGAGATAAAGCCAATGTCATTTGTAATAACTGTCATATTATTGAAAATATGCTACGAAAACCATTATGTAAAATGGATTATGAGGCACACCTTTTCAGTTTACTGATGTGTCATGAAAAAAAATATTTCAATGCAAGATCATTGCATTTTACTGCACTGTACATCTTTTAATTACATATCTCATTTCTTTTCAATAGCTCCCATGTCATGTGACCAAGTGACTTGAAATAAATGCAGATTTGTATAACTACATTGGACTTCTCTTTATATTGGATTTAGTGTTTTGTATATCTAATATGTATATGAGTATTCAGCCTTTATATAAAAGTCTCATTTCTGAATTTAAATAAACGTTTTAATAAAAGATAGATAAACAGTTAAATAAAAAAGACGTGTCCTTGTTCCGTTTAGTATTAACATCTGGACTGGATTTTAAGTCATTGGGTCACATAACATGAGCCATTGATATTCAATTAAAATATATTTTTAAGCATAATTTCCCCAAAAATGTGAAAGTTAGCACAGAGCCAGATCTTTATAAAGCCATTAAAAATATGATTAAATATGAACACAAAGCGTTAACATTAAATGTGATCAAATAAGTCGATCATTTGCTTCTCTCCTCTCTCTAATGTCACCGAGGTCATTATGCAACACGTTTCCAGTAAACTGTTCAGGTTTTCAGTAAATAGTTTGGACCGATGCCAGTTATCATTTGTTCCTGTAGCTGTCACCCTGAGGAAGCTCACCCACTCACCTTACGAGAATACACGTAATATTTATTCTTTTGAAGAATCTATCAATAGACCTTTTTTTGATGAATAAAAAAACCTATTGATATGAAAATCACAGGTCAGGTGTGAATCACAAAGTTAATGATGGATACATTATATTGCATGATGAACAAGATGTAATAGCGTTGCATCGATGCTGTGGAAGCGAAACCTATTTATTTATTTATTTATTTATATTCATCCATTTTATTTATTTGTATTTATTTATTTATACATTTTTATTTATTTATTTTTATATATTTATGCATTTTATTTATTTTTATGTATTTATACATTTTATTGATTTTTATGCATTTATTTAATTATTTATCACCATTTATTTATTAACTTATTTGATTGTTCATGTTTGGTCTTTTAATGTGATGAGTTACTTTTTTAGGATTTGCTTGTCGTCTGTGTTGTTTGTGTCACATGTCACGGTTTACTGGGACACTTGAATTATAGTATTTTAACTTTTTTTCCCCTAGTATAATAAGTCAATCTTTCTGACTTGAAAAGCAACTTCAAACTTAAACTTAGATGTGTGCTTTGACATTATTAATTGAGATGCATCCTTTAAGCATTTCCATCTAAAGCAATGTCAGTGTAGCAGCAGGAGAGATGTTATTTTAAATTCAATTAAAACTAGATTTAATTTCTGACTAACTTCCCGATAAATGGCTAACATTTCCATGAGTTTATGTGGGCATGCACTTATTTGATCTATTAGAGAGATTTATGTTTTGTATGTGTGGCATATCTGTAGTGTCACTCACAAAGGTCATCATGGAATTTAAAAAGGGGAAGTTGACGTGCCGTTAAAGGTCTGCGTGTTTTCTGCAGCATCAGTTCAGCAGCATTGTGTCTGTCGTCCTCCAACCTCACCACCATGAGCCGTCTGCTGCTGGGAGCCGTGCTGCTGGGGCACCTGGGAGTCTGCAGCGCCGCTCAGGGTGAGATATCATTTATTTGTATGTGATTTATGACGTAATCAATCAATCAATCAATCAATTATTTCAAAGTCACATCGAATAAAGGTTCAAGGCTTTTACTGGTTATACGAACATAGCTACAGTGTAGTTATGACGATGAAAATCTTAGGTCACAGGCTCCTCCAACAGTGCAACACAATAAAACAGATACACAGAAAAAAATAGTCCAAGTAAACAGTAAATACAAAAAGAAAAAAAGTGAAATAGTGCAATAAGAGTCTATATACAAGTTATTGGAATATGGTATATTAGATAAATAATTTCTAAGTAGCAGATCTCAGATCGCGGTTAACGTTTTTTAATTCACAGTGATGAGTGTAACTTCAAATGTATTGCTCTTTAATTAAAATAAACCAACCAATAATAACTCACTAATACTAGATTAAACGCACTTGAATAAAATGTAATAAAAGGCAACATTTAAAGGGAAATAATAAGGGTTCAATTAAGTGAAATGGTGTCAGATACTGAGTGTCTCTAAATCATTTTCAGACATCAGTAACAATTTGAATTTGTTATTTATTACCAGTAAGCAACATGTGACGTGTGTTGGTTCTGGCTCAGGAGCGAATGACATGTGAGTGTGAAATGAACTCTGAGATTTCGAGGAATTACATTCCAGGCCAGGTTTAATAACAAAAACGCCCCAGTGTTTCCGGAACAATGAAGCGCATAGTGAGGTAGAAGCTTTTTGAGTGTGAAAGACTTTCTAAGGAAAATCAAAGGCCTGCTTCAAACCAAACGGATGACTGAATTCTTAGAAATCATTTGAAGGACAATTATTTTCATTGAAACACGAATTATCCCAGAGTGTGAAATAAAACAGAGGTAACTTCAGTATTAATGTGGACATACAGTTTAATTCCCCAATAACATATTTAACTTGTTTGTTAGTTGGACATTTTAGCTATAAGACAAATTACCAGGATCATAGTCCGTTTTTCTAAAAGGTGAAAAACATCTTGCTGATACATTTTCTTAAAGAGTCACTCAAGGGCTCAGAAAATCTCTTCTGTAACACAAAATAATAAATGTTCTGTATAATTTCAGAGCAGTTTTGGGAGCTAAATTGTTTGGCTGCACCTCATTAGTTTTTTTTAGAATTTGGAGTTTCAACTGTCGTGCACTTTTCTTTACTTCATTTCTTGTTTTTGTATTTTCTCTGTGTTCTTATGTCCTGTTATATTTGTAGTTAACATAGGAACTTTTATTTAATAACAAACCAATTACCTCCTTTTATATTCATGCACTTGATGCTCTTATGTCCTAATAAACCATAATGTAATCCATTACGTCCTCAGCTCCAGAGATGCTCTCCAAACCCACCGAGGTGAGGTTCGACTCTGTGGACTACAGACACGTTCTGCACTGGACTCCGCCCGGCAACAGCAGCTCTCTGCAGTACTCCGTCCAGTGGAAGATGTGAGACACACACACACACACACACACACACACACACACACACACACACACACACACACACACACACACACACACACACACACACACACACACACACACACACACACCACACACACACACACACACACTCACACACACACACACACACACACACACACATACACACACACACATGATCCGTGCTGAACAGGATCCTCTCTCTGCTCCTCCTCAGTTATGGCGAGCTTGATTGGTTGGACGTTGACAGCTGTCAGAGGATCCAGAAGCCTCAGTGTGACCTCAGCGCCCTGACCTCTGACCTCAGAGAGTGGTATTACGCCAGAGTGCACGCCTCCTCTCCGCCCGCCAGCAAATCAGCCTGGACGCTCTCCCCGAGGTTCAGCCCGCGGTCGGACAGTAAGTGTTTAATGTTTTCCTCTTCATCGTCATCATCCTCTTCTTCTTAGTCCTCTGGCTTCACCAAACTGAAAATGATAATATAAGTAGCTCATGTTTTATTTCCAGGAGAGGAAATGTGTTTCAAATATTTTACTCAGGGAGAGGTTATAGTAAAGATTTGAGAATAAGATATTAGGTGTTCAGATATTAAATAGGAAATTACATTTACAAACCTCTGATTACGATTTGCTAAATAATATGTACATTGACTTTATTATACTATCAACTGTTTCTGGTCCCTGTCTCTTGCTCAGTGCAACGGTATTTTTGTTGCCCTTTTTTTCTGGAGAAATTCAATCTTTGTATTTTTAAATGAAGAATACGTTTGACAAATCTATGATGTTGCCTGGTATTTAACCCGCCATCCTGCAAATTGAAGTCCCGTTCGAAGCAGTCTGTCTAAAATGTGAATGAAGTACACCATGTCAGGTGATAAAGATGTCAGAAATGCAAAACCAACTTGAAAGATTATCTCTTCTTTCATGTCTTTTTGTAATCTGTCTCTCTTTTATGACTTTGAATCTGTATTTCAACATTGTGTAAAAATATATTAAACTAAACAAGATTATTATATTGTATCTGCAGCCAAAATCAGCTCTCCTTTATTGAGGCTGAACCGCACGGTGAAAGGCATTGTGGTCCGTGTGAAGCCCCCCAGGCTGCTCGTCAGGAAGATGCACAACAGCCTGCAATACAAGATCTACCTCATGCACAGCAGTGGAGAAGAGGTACACACACACACACACACACACACACACACACACACACACACACACACACACACACACACACACACACACACACACACACACACACACACACACACACATACCATGTATACATCACTTCAGGGGACATTACATTGACTTACATGCATTTCCTGGAGACTTATCCTAACCTTAACCATAAGTTAACCAACACATGCCTAACCCTAACCCTAACCAAGTCTTCACCCTAAAATTAATGATTCACCTCCATTATGTCCCCATAAGGGAGGCGAGTCCCCACATGTGACTGTGTAAACAGATGTAGGTCCCCACAAGGATAGTAATGCTAGGCCACACACACAAACACCAGGTGGTGATATAACACTGAAAAACAAAATGGTATTTGTACATTTTTAAGAGTCTGCAAACTAATTATAAAAATATTTGTTGAAGATTTATTTTCTGTCAGCAAGGAAATCACTGTGGTAACAAACAAATGGATGATTTTTCGAGCCTGGAAAGTAATAACATTTACTATTTCAATGTGTACACTAAAAAAAAGTACATCAAAACTCCCACAACTAATAGAAGAGGAAGAAGATGAGGGAGAGAAGGCGAAAGGGGAAGAGCAGAAGAAGAACAACAACACAAACAAGAACAACTGGAAGGGCACTCGGAAGCACAGACATGTGCCAACGCCGTTTCCAATAGAAACATCAAATGTCCCCTGATTCAAATCCATTTCAAAAGCTTAATGGGTTTAACATTGGTCCATCCAAACCAATCCAATAAGTTTCATTAAAAATGGGCGAGTAGGTTTTCTAAAATCCTGCTGACAAGAAGACAAACCAAAAACAAACTCATAATAACTCAAATAAAAGAGAAACATTGAGAAACCAAACCTACATTTTTCATACATATATTTCCTAAATGTCTACATTTGCTGTCAGACTCCTCAAATATTTTGTTGAGATAGTCTCACTTGAACCACTGTGCATTAAAGTCCAAACCAAACGATCCTGTCTCCTCTCCCCTGCAGACGGTGTTTGATATGGACTGCTGCTCCAAAAAGCTGACTCTGAAAGATCTGAAGCACAAAACCAAATACTGCCTCCAAGCCCAGACCCTGATCCCCGCGCACGCCAAGAGCAGCACTCGGAGCGCCGTGAAGTGTGTCACCACCCTCTGAACACACAGGTATGAACACACACAATAAACACACATTTGGAAGTGTTAACCTCTGTTAACCTCTACCAAAGAAACGATTTTTTTCTCAATATTTGTACACATTTTCGGTTGTTTGTTGAGTCAAAGTGCTGATCACTGCAGTAAACAGCTACTCTATCTGTGAGAATATGGTGCAGGCAGTGTTGGAAGAAGTACCCAGAACCTTAACTTTAGTAAAAGTACACGTACAATGGTCTTAAAATACTCCACTACAAGTAAAAGTCCTGATTTCAAAAGATTACGTAAGTTAAAGTACAAAAGTATTAGCATCAAAATGTACTTAAAGTACATAAAGTAAAAGTGCTCATTCTGCACAATGATCCACTTCAGAATTACATAGTACAGTAAAGAGTACTTCAAGTACCAAAAGAAAAGTACTTGTTATGCAGAATGGGTCTTTTCAATATTATATTGTTATGGTTATTTAATGATCCTGTTTGTATACATGTTAGAACATTTAAGTATTGTAGTTTATCAATGTGGACCAACTTTAGATACTTTAAATACTGTGTACATTAGTAGTACTGCATTATACCATATGAGCACATCATGTGTCTTATATGCACAAAGTAACTGTGAGTGTGAAATAGATGTAGTGGAGTCAAAAGTGGGGTATTCGCCTCTGAAATGTAGTGGAGTAGAAGTTTCAAATAGCATTACAATATAAATACTTGAGTACATAGTTCCATAGAGTTCCTCCGCTAAAGGTGTCTGCTGTGTGTGACTGTGTGTGTGTGTGTGTGTGTGTGTGTGTGTGTGTGTGTGTGTGTGTGTGTGTGTGTGTGTGTGTGTGTGTGTGTGTGTGTGTGTGTGTGTGTGTGTGTGTGTGTGTGTGTGTGTGTGTGTGTCGTAGCAGAGTGAAACCTAATATCACACACTGAGAAGTCAGGTATCCACGGCCTGAGGCAGCGAGACAGAGAGCGGACATGAAACTCCTGTGAGGAGAATGAGAAACATAAGAGTTTCTCCACAATCACTATAATTACCTGCGCTCACCACACCCTGCGCTATTTTTAGATCTGGGTAATGGATGTGTAGAGCGCAGACAATGTTACCTATCTGGACCCTGAGTCTGTAATAAAGTTTTCATTCATTCATTACCTGGACAGGTATTACTTTAGTTTCTGTCTCACTGCTCTCTGTCTTTTCTTCTCTCTGCTGTAGAATACCAACGTGACACTGAATGACTTTTCATCCATCAGTTCAGCTTCAATCCTCCATCACTACCTCCAACGCTGCTGCCATAAATACCTGCCAATAAAAGATGGGCTCTATTCCTGAAAGCATTATTGATCCGGCATGTTGAAGTGCATAGGACTTGAATGATGTCAGCCTCTGCCTTAAAGCCTCTGCTTTAAATAAATGTTGTTTGTAGAAATGAATTAGAAATAATAGTATGACGAAATATTCTAACTCAAGTTACACTCACCAGCTTTTCAGTGAGATCACGCTAGTCAGTGGACCCTTAGTTAGGAATATTTCGTTTTTACCTTGTTTTATTTTTGATGTAGCACAGTTTATCTTTCAATAAGGACACACTACAACACACTTGACGTCAGGGCACCCGTGAGTTAAAGGTGAAAACTAATATGTAGCCGTTTAGTGTTGTTTTCGCTTGTTTTCTGTGAATGGAAAACATATTGGTTACATTACAGTTCCATGTATTCAGTTATAGGAAATATGTAGTTTTCATAAGTGACCACACAGTCTAATTCACACATGGAAATCAATCTAGCCATCTTAACATTTCTTTAAAGTGGAAAAATATTGTGCAAAATGATCACTGTAGCATTACCTTGAAGCCATGACACTATACAGATGCAATACTTTGAAAATGTAACCTGTTTTTTTTTGTATGTCATGTTATAAATAAAGCCAAAGACACTGTTTACACTGGTCATTCTGTCTCATTGGGTTTCAGCTGTCCTTCTTCAGTTGTTTGAAACTATAATGATAAGGCTGTTGTTATTCTTCCCATATTATTTATCCCATGAAAGGATGAAAATAAACGAAGTATTTATACTGTTGCTTAATACTTTGTCTTCCCTACAGTGATTGTGCCACTCAGCCCCAAGCTCATTGGTTAATGAGCTTTAAAGTAATAAATTATGACACATAACACATTTTCATTGCTTATGAACGTACATTTGTAAAGCCTACCAACTGTCACAAGACAAGCTGTGATTCTAAAAATCAGTATGAAAATGTATGAACATTAAAGCATGTAAACATTGTAGTATGAACCTAAAAATGTCAGATTTAAGAAGAAAACAGCGTGAAATAATTCTAGTAATTATACGTCAGAATAAAAACAAAGACCTGTCATTAGTCTTGATTTAGACTTTATTCAAAATGTTGATAAACTTGATACTCTTGATCAATCAGGCGTGAAATAACCAATACTGTAATGATAACAAAAAACGCTCACTGAAACAGATGTACTCAAAGCTAACCTGACCGAGATGTTCAGTGATTTACAGGAAGTGTTGCATTAAACAGGAAGTCGTGTTATTTGATCGGAAGGTGGCGGGCTGCACTACGCCTCTGAGGTTTTAGTTTTCGTACGGAGTTGTGTAAGAACTCCTCGCTAGCAGCTACTTCATTTAGTGGTTTTGGTCCTGAAGACAGAGGCCTTAGAGCTGGAAGAGTTCAATTTGGTCCCTTAGCCAGACGCCTGAATGCACCTTATGGAGAACCGCCATCACACACCTCATGCTGCAGTTTGTCAAATGAAGTGGAATGTCTTTTTGGGAATGTCCAGTCATCGTTTGCATTCAAAACCTTTCTTTTTGTTGCTGTAAACAACAACCTGTAGGCTTTAGACTGTAATACAATATGGGAATATACAGCACCAGTGCATCATGGTAATTACAGATAACCCTTCATTTGTAAAAAAAATAAAATAAAAAAGGGTAAATCCAGTGATATCTTGGCTTGTAAACTGCCCCTTTGACAGCTTGGTGATTAGTAAGGCCTTTACAGTGTGTTGCTCTGACAGTCAGTGGTCATAAAAACGCAAAATATGGGGTACTTCACATTCTAAACCATCATCAGATGCCACAGTAATATACACAGCAGAATCACAATTATATTTACAGCATTTGGAAGTTCGTACCTTTCTACAAATGAGCCCTTGGTTCGTCCTTCAAAAGCGGGACACATTTTCTATTGAACTTCTCCAAAACAGACTGAAGGAGGAAGACAGGGATAGAAGTCAGGGGGATTCAAGAATCAGTCAGTTTGAACGAATTTGTTCAATTTGAGGAGAGAAGGCCCGGGAGTGACCATATGAAGAGGTACAGTATATTTCCTGCATAGTCACACCTCAGTTCATAGAGGTTTGGAGAAAACTAAATCAACTTACCATGAATTAATCCTGAGGAAGCCGTTCTCTTGGCTCTAAAATCATAGTATGTATAATAATAGAAAACTGTCTTCAATGTCTTTTAGTTAAACTCTGTTCTCAAATGTCCCCCGACCCTGCTGAACGTGATGGACATGTGGCTTCATGGGAAAGCTGCTTGTTTAATGCTACAAAAGTGTATAAATATAAATAGAGCAACACTTTCTGACTCAACTCGATATCAAGGCTCAGTTTAAAAAGATACGCACATTATAAAAAAAAACGAGGATTTAATTTAGACATTTTGTTCTTAAAGGCACAGGGTGTGTTTATAGTAAGCCATTTTGTGCACTCAGTGTTCTGTACATATTTCTCCAATGTGGCCACTCCCGGGCTGCTTTATAATCTGAAATGATGCTGTGTCTTTACAGGTCTAGCCAATCAGAGAGGTCTTTTTGAGTTTTGAACGTAGAAAAGATTCCATGTTTGCTCTGTCGGACTTCCAGTGTTTTTCTACCTGCATGGCTAAAATCGTCAGGGCATTTCCAGTATGCGAGCCATCTCTAGAACACGAACGGTACTGCAGCATGGGTGACTTTAAAACAGCATATGCAATACAAAACAACTGCCAGCATTAGGCTGATACTGGGAGAAAATAAATATTTACAAACAAGGCATAAGGTTTTGTTTTTTTTCAACATTTTAAGGGTACATGCATGCATGATTCTCAAGTCAACAAATCTAAAAGCGTGATCGAACAACTCTGAAACTGACATGGAATGTATGTCCTGCTGGTAGCTAAGGTAAGGTCAAGTCTCTTCATATTAAATTACCTATAAAAATATATATATAAATAAAAAGGTGAGGGTATTGTGTTGCGAAAGCTGCAGCAGCGGTCAACGTTTAGCTGCACCGACAGAACTAGAGAAGAAGGTAACAAAGGGGAGAGAGGAGCACCAGAGGATACTGGGAATGTTCAGAACTCCAGAGTGTTCCCAAATGGGACAAGGCAGTGTGTTGGACCGGGAGGGAACATCGTAGACCTGCTGCCACGCTGTGTTCAGGTTCTAGAGCTCAGGCTGTGTCCAAAATCACTCACTGCTCACCGACTGACTTTCATTTCCATGTGCCTCAGAATGTAGTAGGGATTCATGGACTCAAAAGTATCCCACAATGCATCGTGAAAATAAGAAATTGCTAATACATTTTTATGTTATAACATTTTAAGTGGCCGCTGAGTATTTTTCTACAAATGCTAAAAGGTGTGCCTTATGTAAACATATGAGTAGTAATTTGGCATTACCAAACTTGAAGTATCGGAGCTAAAATTCTCCAACTTAATATTATTGTTTTTGATGGTTTAATTGTTATTTTTCTCATTAACTGTTATCTTAATCATTTCACTTTTTTTAACGTTCTGCATCAAACATGCTGGATGAGGAAAAAACACCCCAATATGTTTTTGTACAGAGCTCTAAAAAGATGTTATAGAAAGACTATATAGAGTATTTTCAGTGGGAGTGTGTTTATGTGAGGCGTGTGGTGCAGTGGGTAGTGCGTTGGTGACAAGTGACATGTAATGTAATAATAACATATAGTGAGCGAGTGAATAATTTTGGACACAGTCTCTGCTCTAGAACAAAGACACAGCGAATAGAGTCCCCTTCCGGTGGACCTCCATGGGACCTTATTACGAAAAAATTGTGTATTGAAGTCAATGGAGAGAGAAAGATTATCTTTCGATCCCGTTTGAATTGTGCCACGAATTACACATATGATGTTTGTCAATTTAAAAGATAATTTTGCAAGTCAAAACAAATTAAATGTGTCGTAAAACTGTGAAGTAACACATTTGTTTGTGTGAAACGCTCAATGAACTACATCTCTGTTATCGCAGAACAACACACGTCACCAAGATGGCCGTCACTACTGTCTTGTCAACAAAACGATTGACTACCCTCACTATCACTACAATGAAACACGTCCAGAAGAATGTCATGCAAAGCTGCCTGCCTGCCTTCCTTTGATTCTCTCTGAACTGCCTGGTCTTTTTAATGTTTAATGTCAACCATTTGTGCAGATAGCATGAAGTAGAAAAGATCTGCGATCGCCGATGCTAGCGTTAGCATTTCTCCCTCGGGCTTAAATTGTGTATTATAGAATGATCACACCGGTGACAGTACTCTTCAAAGGATTCACGAAATATGACTACTACTCTTACTGTTTAACATTTTGGGTTACTTAATGTTACTTCATATTAAGGCTAATAAAAATGACAAGGCTGTAATGCTAACTAACGTGCTAGCTACTAGCTAGGTAGCTAACTTGATCCAGCCACTCCTGGTCCTTTCATCAGACGGGAAGCGAAAGAACGAGCAAGACCCATTGCTGGTATGATAACAACCTGGTACTAAGCACACAGGCATCTTGTTAAAGTTATCTTATCTTAGCCAGCGCCTTATAGATAGATTATATCTATATGGCGCTGATCTTAGCTATCTCTTAGTGGAGGAAAACAATTGTGACATCACTTACGCGACTCTGGGATTTGTAGTCTTTCTTGTTGCGTATTTTTCATAGTCTTATATTTCAACAGTTTTACGACAAACTGTGACTTTTTTGACATGGATTTTTTTTTTAAGATTGACAAACATCATATGTGTAATTCATGGCACAATTCAAACGGGATCGAAAGATACGTTTTCTCTCTCCATTGACTTCAATACATTATTTTTCCGAAATAAGGTCCCATGGACCGGAAGTAGATGGGCGTGACTTCGCCACTCTATAGATAGAACCTAAGTGATAGAACCCTTTTTAAAACATAGAAAAAAGGCAGCCAGGTACTAAACCCTCCAGGAGTTTTAGGCCAAAAATCTGTCTAAACGTTCTGAACCTCTCTAGATTGTATGGGATGAGCTATGAACACAGCAGATCATTTCATACAGCTCCTACGAGAGGAACTCTTTCTCCAGCTCGAAGACGGAGGGCCGCCCCGGGGAGCTCTGGATGCGGCAGAGCGGCACCGTGCAGTCTCGTTTCTGGCCCTCCGTGTCCATGTCCAGCAGCGAGCAACCCATCCCCACGTCGGAGGACAGCACCACGCTTATGTTTTTAGCCGCCTTCTCCCCGGAGTAGTGGCCCAGGGAGTAGCTCTTGTTGCGCCCCCGCAGCAGGGCCCAGGCATGGGGTTTGGCCCTGAAGGACACCGGCCGGGGTCTGGAGAACGCCTCCCCTTTAGAGGGCTTCTCTGAAACCTCCTTCTCTTTCTGCTGCTTCTTCTGCGTGGAAGGAGGAGGCAGAGTGGCTGGAAACAGAAGGAGGAGATACATTTGAGCATACATTCTATATTTTAAGGCCATATACACATGCTTATTTCCCTTGCGTTTCCCCATGTTTTGTGATACTCACTATTGTGGTTGGTGGAGTATTTCTTCCTGCGCAGACGTGGCCCTGTGTTGTTGTTGTTGCTTTGCTCTGTCGGCTGGCTTTTGGTTTGCACTGGTGTCTGTGTGTTAGCTGCAGTCCTGTCATTCTGGCCTTCTG